AATTAGAGAGAGGTTTGTAATTATATCTTTTTGGGGACTCTCCATTCATTTATATGGGGAAAACTCTAATCATGATGAACTTAACCCCTACCAAGTCCTAACCTTACATTAGTAACCAAACAAAATAAAAGACTTTTGGCATTTTAAGTTATTTGCTAAGCATTCACAGATCTTTCTGGGGACCTGAAAAATGGTCCCCACAATGTCAAAATAACAGGTTTTAATTACATTGTGGGACACACACACACCACTCCCGGCCCAGTATCAGTGTGACACTCACGTAACATTATAATAAGCTAAAGCACCCCACCAAAAAATAAAAGCAGCACTGAGATCCATCTTCACACGCCTGAAACTTCCATTGTTTGCATAGGTTAATAATAACTCTGCTGCTCAAAATTCATGATCATTTTGAAAAATTCATTTATCTTCTTTAGTTAATTATGATTATTCCTTCACCAACTGCAAAGTGCCACAAAGTTCAGCCCCGTGCATGTGCACCAGACCCCATCCCATTAAAAACATCATCTCAAATAAACCAACAGCATGTTTGTTACAGTGTATAAGTTAGACTACACTGTATAGACTACCTACCCATATCCTAAAAAAATATATATATATTTTTTAGAAGTTAATAAAAGACTTGTAGTTTGGGACATACTGAGTGGGAGGGGCCACACAGATACTGTACCCCCAGTCATTGGCTCCATAGTAACCATGTTTAAGTTGCTGTTAATTCAACTGGCAAAGCTGTCATATCATTCAGCTGTCAGGTGCTGAAATCAGTCAGCAAAGCCAACTCTTCTGTGGTTGTAGTAGCAGAGGTGGATGTGCCCCATTTGGCTGGACACTTGTCCATGTTTATTCAGTCCAAGTCCAAGACGTGACCCTTCCTGTAAATGTGTGATTCATTCATTATCCTCCTGAGACCCCACCCATTCATTTACGTCCATTGTAGTGGACATTTTATTTATGCATCTATCTTTTCACTGATGTTAGGAAACTGCTGTGAAATTAAAAATAAAATTTAAAAAATCTAAATTGTAAGATGTCTTATTTCCTCCAAAGTCAAATAACCTAAAATTGAAGGACACTTTTTTCCTTGAGTCTCAGGAGGTTAAAGTAGGAGGCCCCAAGCAGCAGAATTCACGCTGAAGGGGTTTCGCCCCCCCCCCCCCCCGTCACATGCAAGACAGTTATTATGGATCTGTCACTGTCCTGGTCGCACTCCACACATTGTCCACTGGTACTCCACTATGTCTGAATAAACCAAAAACACCAGTTCCAAAGTCTCTGCTTCAGCATTGAAGCCCAGGCCATGGCCTGCAAATAGTTGCACTCTGATGACATCAGAAGCAGTGTCAGAATATGGAACATGGGGCAAGAGTCAGAGGTCCAGCAGTGTCACTGCAGGCAAAGAGGGCCGGAAGGGCTACCGGCTAGTGTGCTGGGAACGGGTTACGTAGATCGCGCACATTGGGCAATAGCGGTGAGGGGGCCGAACAAGCATCTGCTGGCATAAGATACACGGCTGACTGGGGCCAGGGCGGGGCCGGGGTTGGGCCAGGGGCAGGGTCGCTGCCTGGGGCTTCCTATGGCTCCGCATTGTCCAGCATGCCTCAGGGGGAATGTCAAGGCGAAGGGGTTGGCCAGTAGAATCAGATAAGTAGGGCGGAATCTGATGGAAGCGATGCGGGTGCTGCAGAGTGCTGTATGAACGGGCCGGCCCAGTCCTGCCAGGGCCTGGTCTGCCAGGGCCTGGTCTGCCAGGGGTCGCCACAGACCGAGGGTGAATGAGCGTGGCATAACCAGGTCTCAGTCCTCCAGCTGCACTGTCCATGGCCCAAGGGAGCGAGGACCCTGGGGATGCCCTCACAAGTGCCTGCTGGAATGTGCTGTAGCTCAGGGCAAAGCGGTCGTACATTTCAGCAGGGAGAGCTTCACCCCAGTCTGGCACAGCGAGAAATTGGTTGACCTTCTGCTGATCTCCTGATAGCAGGAAGGAGAATGGAACATGACACAAGGACAAGATGACATTAATGGCCAACTGTACATTCAGCAAGGGGACAGAAATATGTCAAAAATATAAGTCACATCAAGTCATATTGAAGTCCACCCCCTGTGGGGTTAACGGCGGGGGGCATTAGTGGGTGATTACCTGAATGTCCCCGAGGGAGCCCAGCCACAACAGGCCGATGGAATGGGTGGCAAGGTGTGGCAGGGCTGTGGTGCTTGTGGTGCTGGGGCTCAGAGTAGAAAGTGGCAGGATGATGGGGGGAGGTGAAGTGGGGGGAGCTAGTGCATTGGTAGGTGTCCACGGGACGCATAACTCGAGTGTCTGCAGGTATAGGCGTCCTGGCAACTGGGGGCTCCTTTTGAACAGAAACAGAGAGCCAAGTCAGCAAGGGGCCAAGTGAGGGGGTGTGGGGGGGGGCAAGACAGAGGGACAGACACAAAGTTAAAAGAAGCTCACAGGAATTCCCAGCCACAACAACACACTCATGTGAAGAAAGCAAATATCAAAAAACAATTGCAGCAATTTCAGAGGAAACAGTCAGTTTAGCTTCATCAGCATCTGCATGACAGTTGCATGATGTGATACAAAATATGACTCAAAAACCCCAAGCAAGGTCACAAATGACAGCTCACAATTACACCATGAGGAGTATATTCAAGGCAGGTGGAATGCAGGCCATAGGCACAGCAAAGGAGGGATATGATGAGACACAGAGCTATATATCGCTGTCTGTTTGGGTGCATGTTTGCATGACATTGACTCACAAAGCTGTGAGAGGAGGTCAGATGCTCAGGCCGCCCACTGGGAAAATTGTTGCTGAGACTGCGGGCGATTCGCCGCAGGTTCTCTGCACTATATGCCTCGTCGTCACCCCCATGCGGCAAGTTGCAGCCAACGGCAGAGGAGACCTGCACAAAGTGGTGAGCACTTAGAAAAGGGCATAGGGGGCAGGCGGGGAAGGGCCTGCATGTGTATCGCTCACTCACCTTGTGGCTGGGCCCATGGGGGCTGCCGTGGCCAGAAGTGCGGTACGCACTCCTCTCGATCTCTGCCGTAGGTGTCTTGGAGCGGCTTGGCACAGCCACCCCAGGTGCCAGCTTCCGGCCTGCTGCCAGCACTGTGGTCACAGAGGTCAGAAAGCGTGACAGGTCACTAGAGGATCGTGCCATATATCGTGTCAATTTTCCATTAGGTTTGGTTATTTCTCATAAATTTATTGTATTAGAATTTGAGTTGAGAGCAGAAAAGTGAATAAAAAGTGCTATTGCCATTACCTGGAGGGCTGTGATTCTGCATGACCCTGGGCATGGTGGGGGCTTGCAGACTAGCCTGGTACAGTGAGTCCAGCTCAGACGGCTCGTGTCCAGGCGGGCCTCTATGCCGACCCTTAGGCAACTGGGAGTTGTAGTGGTGTGTAACATTCTCCGCCCAGCGCTCCACAGGCATAGGGGGTCCCGGCCTGGTCCCACCCCTGGAAGACAGGGGAGCTCGAGGCCGGCTGCTTGTGACAGTACTATAGGGGCCATGGAGGCCATAAGGGGGCCCACGAGAGCTGCCCACATGGTCCAAACTGCGGGCAGACCAGGCCTTACTGAAAGAGGAAGTGGCCAGGTCAGGCACTGAGTTTTTCTGGATGTGGGGATTACTAGGGAAGCTCTGCTCCTGTACTAGGGATAGATCTGAATCTGCGGGGGTGCCAGTTTCTGTGGGCATGGTTGTGGGGGCCACAGATGCACTACTCCAGGCCACGGGCTCAGAGGAGCTTAGGCTACATGGGGCCTCTGAGGGCGGTGGCATCTGGGGGGCAGCCTCCCCATTGGTACCCAGCTCTCCCCAGCTATCCCATGGACATGAAGGAAGTGGGACAGAAGGCTGCCTCTGGGGGAGCTCACTGCTCATCTCGAGGCTGGGAGAAGGAGACAACCACTCGCTGGAATGAGGGGAGTAAGGACACGGAGGGCCCGGAGAGTCAGGCTGCATATTTCTAGAAGCGGAGGGCTGCCTAACGTTGGCGGGGGCAGGCAGGGCATCCTGGTCTGTGTCTTGGTTCAGGTCCCCTGGAGCTGTCAGCAGTACTTGGCACACAGCAGCTTGTTCACTGTGTGGGGCAGAGGGAGTAGGTCAGGGAGAGAGACTGTCTCAATGACAGTCTGACCAATTGGTGGTGAGTCACAGCATCCAGCACTGCAGTTTCACCAAAAACTGCCATCACAGTGTGATGCCCCAGTGACATGGCAGCTCTTATAGAGCCCTGATCAGGTTTATGCACACCAAGAATCTGTTATACAGCTACTCACACTCCAGGAGGAATGAAACTGCTGGAAAAGGCATGACCACTGACAATTATCACACAGCTAAGGATGGTTTCTGCATGTGATACAGCTCCAGGCCATACCGAGGTCACTATGCTGAGCCTTTAGTTCAGAGAGAGCTGCCTTCAATCTTACCAGCCAATGAGCCTCACACTCACTGCCAGCTGCTGGGAAGAAGCCCCCAAACCAGGGAAGCCATGAGTCTCTGAGTCTGCAGACTCACTCCACAAATCGCCCACCAAGACAGTCGGGTGCCCAGGTTTCCAAAATCCGCAATGTTCCAGTTAGTGAGCTGTAAACTCCCCTTTATAATATAGGCCTTCCCGTACACCTGGGACAGCAAGCTGCAGGGCACTGGATCTCCCCACCCCACCAGTGTGGACAGCTGCAATTGGTTCCCCTCATAGAACATGCCATTCATGTGGAAAAACACACATCACAAACTCCTACGGCAGATGCTTTTAATAGTATTTGGGCTGCCCCCAACTATTTTCTATAGATTAATCTATTGACTATTTTATCGACTGGTCGATTGATCTAAATGATTAATTTTCCTCCAGAAAATCAATTTGACCATTTAAGTTAATTTTATTTTGACAACAACTGTCGTGATCGGGCTGGGTGCACGAAACGGGGAAGCAGTAGAAGAACACGATGGATCGGAGAAAACGGGATTTAATGGGGAAAATGGGACATGGAACAGGCACAAACAGGCAGCACTACACAATTAGATATCAATGACAGACCTAGGGAAACGTACTCGAATGCGGACTGAAATGCACAGGACTAATCAGAAACAACACGAAACAGCTGGTAAATGCAGGGATTCCACACAAGATTAACGAGGGGGCGTTCGATAAGCAGATTAGTATTATCCGTAAAAATATTAATGAGATGTGTATTGTGATGCCCAAAACTTAGTAATCTGTAGAAATTTGACGCATCCTCATGTTTAATACATTTAGTTAGCGAAGAACGCCACAAGTGACACAAGCGATAAGCACTGAAGTCGCGATGAAGGAAGGGACAGATCAAGATACTGCGAAGATACTGTGGTTAAACAAGGCAAAAAGATGTTTAAAAAGATTTTGGTGGTGTGGTGGTACTTTTTTCAGGTTAAAGTCTGACACTTTTTTTTGTAAATATGGTTTTCATTTTTATCTCAGTTCTTTTATTTAGTGTCCGTTTTTGTTTCAGTTTTAGTTTACGATAACGACACTGGTCCCAACAAGTCCAATGCGCATGAATGTACCCATTGGCACCATCAATCAACGTAGAATAAGACCAGCCTAAATATTTGCGCAAACACTGATATAATGAAGCATTATAGAAATCATAAAGATAATTTTATTAAAATAATAATTTTAAAAAATGCGGCAATTTAAAATATTGATGTTGACACATTTTCAGCGTCAACGTCATCAACTACGTAGACTAATCGCGGCAGTCCTAAACTGTATTGCGCAGAGCAAGTAAATGTCAGAATTCACTACTGAAGGCAGGGGTAATCGGCCCTAGGTAAAAAATGCTGTTTCTCATACTGACATAATAAATAATATTAATCACATTAATATTTCCATGTGTCGGGCTCTAGCTTGTGACCCCAGCAGCATGAGCGCAGTACCTGCAGGCGGGCTGGGACTGTGTCTGCTCCGGCCGCTCCTGCATGCGCTGCTGAAGGTCCCGCACTCTCCTCATGTATCTGTGCAGCTTCTTATCAGCCCCTGTCCTGCTATGAGTGTGAGCACTGCCTTCATGCATGGCAAGTCTTAGCTTGGCTGAAAACAAAACAAAACCAAAACAAAAAACAAAAACAAATGTAGAACAAAAGAAAAAAAAAGGCAGAGGAAAACAAGAAAGAAAAGACAGAAAAAACAAAAGCTGAGTTATGGGGGCATGCACACCAATTGTCACAAAAGACAGAACAGAAGAACATAACAGAAGAACACTCAAAAAAGACAGGTATAAACAAGGAGGAGGGGGACACTGAGGAAGCACTATGGAGAGATGCTCACACATGAATATATCAGCCTGGGGACCGCTGACTGCTCTCCATCATGCTTCCTCTACTGTACATGTATTTCCAAATCATATATGTCAAACAATGCAGAACAATGTCAACAAAACCAGCAATGAAGCTGAAATGTGACATGAAATGGGGTAAAGCATCTGCATCTACTCCTACAGGATGTGTGACACACTGCATCCCACTCAGACGGTCAAGCTAAGGAAGCTGAAGGTGCTTCCAAAGCACAGAGTTCAACGTCAGCGACTTCCTTTGTAATTATCTCATCGGTTACGAGAAATGGGGTGTGCAGGGAGGCAAAGGTGTTTCAGGCAGGAAATAATGGGAGATCTCTGTGGGTGATGGCACAGGCACAGGGATAAAAATGTGGCATGACTGAAATAGAGAGTGATGCAGGAGAGGTACGTTATAGGAGTGAGGGAGAGGCTACCCATTTGCTGCAACTGATGTGCGTGACTTGTGTTACAGCCATCATTTGACTCATTATGAAAACCAGCAAATGGTGACAATCTGCTGCTTTTGGCATCCAATGGAAAATGCAAATGCATCTGGGCACCCATTCCAAGTATAGAGCTGTCCCAAAGTTAGCAGAACCATGACTTTAAGCTTGAAGGGTGTAGGGTATTAAGCAAAGTTAAGTCTGCAGCGGTGTGTGGTGAAAGGAGCATCAACCAGAGGCAGAGCACAGACTCATGGGTAGGATAAACGCACAGGAGCACAATCAACGAAAGTGTGCAGCAGAGTTACTGGAAGTGCTAGACAGAAGGCAGGGGTGGGGTACTTACACACAGCTTCATTGCAGGCAGTGAGTGCTGCAGCCAGGTCACCGGTCTGCTCCAGCCGTAGTGACTGCTCTATGAGTACATCGGTGTCCACCAAAGCCCTCTCCAGGGTGCCCCCCTTCCCTGCAGGCCGCACATAGAAGAGGGGCTCAGCACTTTCCAACCTCCAGGGGGTGTTTGTGTTTGTGTGTGTCTGGTCATATATATATTACATGTGATAAAAAAAAAAAACCCGGTATTTTAACCTTGTGAGGACACTTTTCCAGTCCCCACAAGGCATAAAGTTCCCACAAATGGATCTCTAAATGCAATCAAAAATCTAATAATCCCAGTAGTGTAGTATTTTGTTTGATTACTTATGGTTAAGGTTAAGGCTGGTTAAGGGTTGTAATACCTGGGATTAGAGTTATGCACAAAGAAATGAAAGAAGAGTCCCCATGAAGATAAAGATCTCTGATTTGTGAGTGTTGCAGAGCTGCTGTTGCCTCTGATAAAAGGCTCATTTTGTCACACCTCCCAGACACTGGCAGAAAATTTGGCAGAAACTTCCTATTCCCTCAGCTTTCCTGGTTTGTGCCTCCCCCCAGGGCCTGTCACCCTGGCCACCCTGTCTGCCTGCCTATACCACACCTTTGCCCTGGTTCTGCAGCTCATCCAGGTCCATGAACTTGCTGGGACGGGGGTTGAAGCCCATGGCAGCCTCCTGTTCTTTTTCCCGCTTGCGCTGCAGCTCCTGCTCTCTGGCCCGGTGGGCGACCTCCTCCTGCAGCTCGTCCAGTTCACTGCGGCCCTCCCCTGTTGTGAGGACACAGATACAGTCACAGACACGCACTTAGTACACGGTCACAAAACTGTTCTCTTCAACAGAAACACGGTCTTTCATGAGTCAGTTTGAAAAATAAGTGGCCTCTGTGTATAGAATAGGTGTGTGCAGGCTTGAGCACACATGCAAACACACACACACACACACACACACACACACGTATTCATATATTTTTCATTTCCATGGGAAAAACCTTAATGACGACAATGACAACAACAACAACAACCTTAACCCCTACCCAGCCCTAACCTTAACCATAAGCAAATTGCGGTTATCCTTGTGGGGACAAAAAGGTATAGAGTTACAGCTGGTCCCCACAGTGTAATAATCACAAAAACACAGACAGACACACTAACAGACAGACAGACACAGACACAGACACATGCTTGTACCCAGTTGGCTGCTGTGCCATGTGCCGGTCTTTGCATCTTGGAGTAGGGTGGTGCTGCTCTTGGACTTGGCAATGTTGCGCCAGGCTGGGCCAGAGCTGCCCATCTTGGAAGCGCTGTCCCTGCAGGGGCGGGGGAGGGGAGCCCGTTAGTGGGCTGGCTGCTCTGGTGCTGATGAAGCAGATCACTGGCGGACATGGCAGTACCTGCGTGAGGAGGCAGTGGTGCCGCTGCTCAGGGGCATGTCGAAGCTCACTGGACTGCTGCTGTTCTTCTCGCTACTCTCATAACCGCTCTCCATGCGCTGGATCAGCCGTGGCTGGTTCTCCACGCTGCTGGTAGGAGCCACATCCCTGGCCACCTGTTCTCTCGCTTCAGGCACTATGGCGGCACCACCATCCCCATTTTCCGGCATGGGTGGGGCTCCCAGGGGGCAGTGGCCCGCCTGCCGCCGCTCCCAGCTAAAGACGCTATCAATGTTGAGGGCCTCCCGCCGGGGCTTCCAGGCAGGCCGGTACCGGCCAGCAGATGAGCTGGATTTGGACTCACTGCTCGTGCTCTCAATTTCCCAGTTGTGGTCCTCGGCACGCAGATTGGAGCCCTCTGGTGCAGAGCCCGTGGCAGATGACAGGGACCGGCTGTGGATGATGTTACTCATGGACTCCTTGAACTCCCTCAGGTGGCTAGTGGTGGGCTTGGGTGCTGTACGGGGGGCCTGCTGCTCTTTTAGTGTCTCCCCTGGGTGGGGGGGGGGGCAACAAGGAAATATAGACAAGGAAATATATTACTGCTCCTCTGTAATGACTACAAATCAAACAGACCCTACCGAATTTCATAAATCTTAGCATGAAGCCAGGCAGGAATGACAACCACAAACACAAATGAAAATGTAAATGCAAATGGACGATTCCCACTACAGGGACCAGGGCACACAGATAGGGAAGGCCCTGCCTCATAGGATACAGGCCTACGGTCACGACCCAGACCTAACCGGTCCCCACAGGTGGTGAGAAGGACCGGAAACAGAATCCAAGTATCCGTGTGACTGTTTGTGGTAGTGGGGGGGGGGGGGGTTTGTCACTGCATACCCTCACTGTGGTATCCTGCAGAGGACACCTCATCTGCCTTAGCTGTCCGGCTCCTGTCCTCCCCCCGCCGAGGTCGACTAGAGCTCCTTTTCCTGTCCCCGGTCCCGCCCTTCCTGTCCAAAGTCCCACCTTTTTTCAGCGTCTGTCTCTGCAGTGCTTCATTGTCCAACTCTTGCCCTTCATAATGAGAGGTTTTACATATTTCAGTTTCCAGGTGGGAAGGAGGGCTGGGGCCAGAACACCATAAAACGCATGGAGAAATGGCGGGGGTAAGCAGTGACAGCGGCAGGCGGAGTACCCAGGGTATCAGCGCTGATGTGGGAGACGGCGTCGTCTAGGTTACACACCACGGTGCCCTGGGAGTCAGATGAGAAGTGACTGGCCATGGACTGGTGGTGCGAGTGGGAGTGCTTTTGGTCGCAGCTGTCGGTAGAGGAGTCGGTGCGTGTGTCACTGGAGATGGACGGCTCACGGCCTGGGGGCAGAATCCACACTCAGATGGCAAGTCACCTTCTCAGCATCTTTATAAAAATAGCAAAACAGACAAAGCAGCCCGGCATCATACTGAGGAGGATGGAACTTACCAGAGTCCTCACTGTCGTAGCAGGCCTTGGCGAGATGGTGCAGCTGCAGTGGAGAGGGCATGTCTTGTGCAGACACTGGTGCCCCCCGGGGGTTGGCGTAGAGCAGCAACAGGGGCTGGTAGTGCCCCTTGATGCAACGTGACACCACGTCCTTCCACTTGGGCCCGATCTGATGTGGGTTCACACAGAAACACGCCTCAGCCAGAGGACCTCAAAAGCTGCAGAGAAACACGTGCTAGCAGGTCTACAGAGAGATGTGTCCTCTGAACAGGCAACACAGAAAACAAGCAAACCACAAGGACAAGAGGCACCCCCAAGATATCAGCTTCTGATATTCCTCTTCCGGCAGCTGCAGACCTGGTATGGCTGGCTGCAGACGAACAAGAGCAGCCCCGGACTCAGCTCGTACCGTGGATCAGCAATGTCTAGCAGCCATTTTGTCATATCTTCCAGCTCAATGTCCCCGCCTAATGGCACCTCCTACAATGAGAGCCTCGCTTCTGACAGCACGGGGCGTCCAGTTCTGACAAAGTGTTTTGGGGGGAGCAACAAGACACTGTACCACCCCACACCCCCACGCCAGCCACGCCTTCCCACCCATCCAGCTGGGACACAAACAATGGAGGGATTTCCTTGTTTTCCCATTTCCTTTAGTAGAGGCCTTTGCTCTCACATGCTGCCTTTGATGGGCTGGTGAAAAACAAAGCACTGCTCTCTGCACACCGAACCAGATCCGGAGTTTAGAGGGGCTTTTTTTCTCAGCAAAACCACACTTGGAACAACCCCCTGGCTACAACAAGGGACAGCAGAACACAGCCACCTCCACTGGGCCCCTGTTTTTACAAAATGAACTCACCTCTGAGTAAACCTCCTCTGTCAGTATATCTCATCTGAGGGTAAGGAAATTACTTAAATGACATGCATGGGAAAGGAGAAATTGAATTCTTTCGGCATCAAAGTGAGTTTATGTTTAATTCTTGTGTTAGCGCAGCTTTTATGAAAACAGTGGTTAACTTTATGTCTGATGATATCAGTTTTTCATTCCTCTTGATCCATCACTGTCTAATATTAAATTTTATTTGCATTTAAATATGCAAACTTTAGTGTGAACAAGAAAACAATCACTTTATAGTAATCCTGAAACAATGTATGCATTATCTACCATTAATGTCTATAGTATTTTCATGTAATAGAGGTCACACATGTTGTTTTGACTATAACTGTTGATTGTGTGATGATGCACAAATCAATATGGAAGGTAGGATCTCTGCCAGCACTGAAACCTTGTGAGTCTTGTCCACCAACTCTATTCAAACCTGAACCTCTGTTCGGAGTCCCAACAATGAAATTGGTGCAAGTAATGACATTTAATTAACGTAAATAATGATGCCAATACCAAGAATTATTATTGATCCATTTGCACCTACCCTGTACTCAAGTACACATGCAGTTTCAATAAATAATTATTAAATTAAACCAGTAACTGCAAGCAGTGACTGAGGGGTCCAAAAGGTCAGAATGCCATCCATGGCACAGAATCGGTATGGCAGTACTGATGGAAAATGAAGTACTGACTCTCACTGGTGGCCAATGTATTAAAAAGTCAGACAGTAGTAAATACAGCTGTAACAGGATGGAGAATTTTCTGTCTAAGCCTAACGGGTCAGGAGATATAGGACAGGATGTAAAAACCTGGGGTGTAGCGCCTCTCCCCACTGAAATTCTGGTTTGGGTCAGAAGGTCTGAGTGGTGGGAAGAAATCGACACCATCCTACCTAATGTAGTATGTCTAGATCAGGGGTCTCCAACTCCGGTCCTGGAGAGCTACTATCCAGTTGGTTTTCTATCCTACCTGGCTACTGATGAGCCACACCTGCTCCTGGTATTTACCTGAGAACTGGTGTGGTTCATCAGAAGCCGGGTAGGATAGAAAACCTACTGGATAGTAGCTCTCCAGGACCGGAGTTGGAGACCCCTGGTCTAGATCGTACAGGTTAAGCTTTGTCTACGCCGGCTGCATGAACTGCGGTGCTCCATGTAACAGCACCACAATCATACTTCGTCCTTTTCGTAAACTGCTCATTCAGACATGACATGATTTTAGCTTCTTGTGTGGAATATTATGTCAGTTGTGCTGTCACAACTGTTGTGGCTATGACACTTCAGGAGCCCCCTCAGACAATGACATAAGCATCAATGTTTGTGTAATACAAGTATAGTTTGTTCCATTTTTCAAATGTGTATGTGTTTTCTGGTTTGTCTCTCATCAATAACAATAAAGATGACGATGATCAGTATTATTGTTATGATTTTTAACAACGATGAGTATGACTTTAAAACTGGGAGTAATTTTCAACCATTGCAGGTCCAGCAGGTCGTGAAATAATACATGAATGACAAGTATTTCAATGCCATGTTCAACATCTAAAACAAAGACCCATTGGAATGTAATGACATTTGACCATGAAGTATATAGCTGCAACTTAAAATACTAGCCTGCTATATGCATTCAGTTCCTGGTGTTGCAGTTTGACTATTTTCATTAGTAAAAGAAGCTTATGTATGCATTTGCAGTCTTACATTTAATAATACTAGTAAATACTGTGACCACTAGAAATCAAAACTATAAAATTTGAACACAATCCTCAGAAATTTTGCTATCTATACATTTTGATGGACTTCACTGAAAAGATGGAACACAGCAGATACATTCTGAGTAAGTTGTGATGCATCATTTTAAACATCATACAGCATACACATAAACAGCTGTAAAACAAGCATGCAATCTGAAGGAAAAGGCTTTAAGGTATTGAATGGCATTTATGGAGCACTGTCACCACCTGCTGGCCAATTTATTAAAACGTGTAAAATACTGAATACTGCCTATGTTTATACATAAATTAGGTCTAATAGTTTTCTACATGTCAAACGGCAGTAAAAGGAAAGGCAATTAAAAATATTGACTCAACTGAACTTAAAGGTGACAACTGGTTGAAGGTTTTAAGAAATTAAATTGAATTTAAGGTGAATTACCCAAGGTGAGTCATATATGACATATATGAATAGTGGCCAGAGTGCCCCCTATTGACCACCAAAGTTGGAGGGTCAATCCATAGTCCCCTACTATAGTACATCATGAAATTGGGTGAGGATTCGCTGAAGCATGCCTGAGATATAGCTGTCTGATAGAAAGGGGCATGAGACAGGTATAGTTTGGGTGTGGCTGGTGGCCATACATGAAGATTAATCTTTCTTTATTTATTTATTGCTGATTTGAATGCTACCAGAATGGTCTAGGTGGGGTGGAGAATATTGGATTAATAGAAATATGTTTTTTCATATTTACAGAAATCACTGGGAAATGCAAATTACTGTCACTGAACAGTAAATATATTTTGATTTGGCATGAGTCACAGAACTGAAAGTAAAAAGGATTTTGACCATTTATATGTTATGCAAAGAGAAATGATGAAAATCTCAGTTGTACTGGTTTTGCAGGTTTACAGACACATGTTCAATTGCTGCACTGCCCCCTATTGACCGATCGGTACCAAATTTGGAGGGTCCTTCCCCAGTACCCTCCTATAGTATGTTGATCCTAGGATGAGTAAAAAAAACCTGTTCAGTCTAGGTCTTACAGTTTAGGCTGCCCCTTTCATTTTAGGGAAGAAGAATACTAATAATAAAAGAGAAAAATCCTAACAAAAACAATAGTGAGTTGTAAAACACAGTAGTGCAATGGACCACTATTGTTTTAGTTAGGATTTTTGTTAGGGCTATTTAAGTCCTTTGTCTTTGGAAAAACATTTACATCAAAATCAAGTCTCACAAAACAAACAACCAACCTCATCCCTGAAAAAATAAGCCCACTATGCAAAGTAAAATTAAGCAATCAGGCCCAATAATAAGCCCAATATACAAGACCACAGGAAACACAATTTATCCTGTGTTTGCCATATTTTGTATGTTCCTTGTAAATATAACATAACATGCATACAACTGTAACTGACACCGTGGAGGCATGGTTCTAAAGTTTTAATTTATCATTTTCTTTTGCTAGTGTGACAGTAAATAACTCCTTATAGCATGACATAAACTAAATAAAGAGATATTTCTGCATAACAAGAACTCTTAATTAGCCTTTAATCACTCATTCATTATCAGATTCTGACCAAAAATTCAATTCAAATGAAGTGATGTAAAATTATGTAAATTCTTAAATTAACTGAGCTAACCAAATTGGCTGAAACTAGCCAGCAAGGACACTAGAAAAAAAAATAAAATAAAAAAAATAAAAACCTGAAAAGCACAGTCTGGAAACTGTTTTGGATTTCACCGGCAATTTTTATCTTGGGAACAGCACACCCCCCCACGCCCTCCCAGCCACATGCTTTATAAGTTCTGAGCAGAATAACAAAACACCATTATTTACTTTTCTGTTTGATGTTAAAAATGTAGTACCACTTTTATCCTGCAGGATGCACTACAGAGAGGTGCCCCGTGCAACAATAATCCAGACAGCCAAAATATAGACAGGGGAGGTTAGGACTGGAGGAGGTCACCTTACCTCCTTTACATGTGCGTCATCAAAGTACATCCATTTGCGGATTTTGGTCTGGAAGAAAAAGGTGGAGTAGTGTTTGCCGTAGTAGCAGACCATGCCCACCAGGTAGAGCTCTGCCTGTCTGGCTTTGTCTTCTGTCACCCTGAAGAAAAGCTGGAGGGGCAGTGACAAAGGCATTGTCAGTCTGAGTGCTGAGCATTGACCAAAATGTCCATCCGGGCCTGATGTGAACCCCAGCTCTGCCTGTTCCTTACATCTCCCAGGCGGAGGCAGGTCCCCAGGCTGTGGATCACATCCTCTGCCAGGTCTGAGTGGTCAGAGTCCCACACCAGGCCGATGGTGATGATCTCGGGGGAGTTCATGAGCACCCGTCTGATCTGCGGCGTCTCTCCACAGTTACTCTGTGACAATGAATCAGGGTGGGAGGGAAGGATCAGCTTCCTCAGCAGTGAAATATTCTTACAGCACAGCTAGACATAATATTCTAACTCCTGCTTTGTGGCCCACAAATTGCACACCAAACAACAGACCCAAAGGGACCTGGCCCCTTTGACTGAGGACCAGAAGGTCTGGCTCCTCCCCATCTTCTCTAACCTACTGTATGGTAACCAACACCACCCCCAAGCATGCTCATGTTGCCACTGCTCATTCATTGAAAATTGGTCTGAGCAATACAGCAAAATTGTTTATCACAATAATTTTTTTTCCATCAGTCAATATACAGTGCCTTCCATAATGTTTGGACAAAGACACATTTTTCCTTGATTTACCCCTCTGCTCCACAGTTTAAAATATCAAAACAAACATTTCAGACCTGATAAAACTGCACATTGCAGACTTTAATTTAAAGTTATTTGCATACATTTAGCACGTTTCACCATGTAGAAACTACAGCACTTTTTATACATAGTCCCCCTCATTTCAGGGCACCATAGTGCTTGGGACAGAGCAATAGTAGATATATTAAAGCAGACCTGTTCAGTACTTTGTTGCATATCCCTTGCATGCAATGACTGCATGAAGTTCACAATTCTTAGTCATCACCAGGTGCTGAGTATCTCTAATTCAGCTCCAGCTTGTTTAGGGGGCTTGTCCCTTTAAGCTTCCTCTTCAGCATATGTAAGGCATTCTCAGTTGGATTTAAACTGAGTGACTGGTTTGTCCATTCAAGAAATGTCCATTTTTTTAGCTTTGAAAAACTCCACTGTTGCCTTAGCAGTATGTTTGTGATCATTATCAGGCTGCAGAATGAAGTGTTGCCCATAGAATTTGGAGGCATTTATGGCAATTTGAGCAGATAAGATGTTTCTATACACCTCAGAATTCATTGTGCGACTGCTGTCCATAAGACCATTTTCCAGAATTCGGCAGGCTGCTTTAAGTACTTTTTCCCCAAACTTTAATTTGGTCATTCTGTTTTTGTGGTTAACTAGTGGTTTGCATGTTGCAGTGAAGCGTCTGCATTTCTGTTCATGAAGTCTTCTGCGGATAGTAGTTTCTGACAAAGACACCTGCCTCATGAAGACTGTTTCTGATCTGCTGGACAGCCATTTGGGGATTTTTCTTTACCATCAACACAGACAAATGTGTCTTTGTCCCACACTTTACGGAGGGCACTGAAGATAATTATTACAATATAATTCACGTTATTATTTCATTACCTGAAGACTCCACTTTGCTTATTATTAACTTAGGATTCCCCTTAAACAGGCTAGGAACATAAAAATGGACTACCAACAGAAATCTATTTTAAATAAATAGATCATACAAAAATACACTATTTTTGTCATGGGCTGTAACACTACAAAACACTGACAGTTTGTTGCTCTTATTGGGTTTTTTCCTCTCATTGCCTCACTGCTTGTTCCAGGGAACGGGTTTGACATTGCTGGTAGAGTTGCTCACAGAGACCCCCCTCTGGCACAGGGAGGGTTTGGCCAGGAAGCCAGGTCTCCCCCCCCAAAAAAACTGCTCAAGTGGGAGGATCCTTCAAATCTAACTGAACCGGTTTGTCGGCAGGACCCAAAACAAAGGATGTTTTTCCAACGCACCAGGTTAATTTCTTAAAATCTTCAACCAAGAAATGTTGGTTTTACACTGGTGTAAAAACTCCTGGTACTGGTACCAGCACCGAATGACATCACAATGCCAGGCTGGGTATTTTGTACTGAATTCAAAAAATGTCTGTAGTATAATATAGGGCTGGAGGATGTGTGATATTAATACCAACATCGCCTGTCATGCACATACAATTCTCACATTGCTAGTAAGCTAGATTTAAATCAGGCTATTTCTTACTTTCAATTCTGTACAGACATTATAGCGCAGGAAGTTTAAGTTTTGCTAAAACATTTTCACTCCTTCATACAAAAAAAAAATGCTTAGCTAGCTTTGCAATTTTAATTATTATTCCTTTTATAGATGATCTAATATTCACTGCTCAAAAAAATTAAAGGAACACTTCGAAAAACACATCAGATCTCAATGTGGAAAAAAATCATGCTAGATATCTATACGGATATGGACTGGGCAATATGTTAGGGACGAATGGGTGCACCATCGTTTGATGGAAATGGAAATTATCAACTATCTACAGAGGACTGAATTCAGACACCCCAAAAATAAAAGTGAAAAAAATGATGCGGCAGGCTAGTCCATTTTGCCAAAATTTCATTGCAGCAACTAGAAATTGTACTCAGTAGATTGTATGGCCCCATGTGCTTGTATGCATGCCTGATATCAATTCCTTCATCCTCCAGGAACTTCCTGCATACTCTCGTTACATGATGCCAGGCATTGTCGTGCACCAGGAGGAGCTCAGGACCCACTGCACCAGCGCTGGGACTGACAGTGGGTCCAAGGATTTCATCCCGATACCTAATGGCAGTCAAGGTGCCGTTGTCTAGCCTGTAGAGGTCTGTACATCCCTCCATGGATATGCCACCCCAGACCATCACTGACCCACCACCAAACCAGTCATGCTGAACAATGTTACAGGCAGCATAACGTTCTCCGCAGCTTCTGCAGACCCTTTCACGTCTGCCATATGTGCTCAGGGTGAATCTGCATTCATCTGTGAAAAGCACACGGTGCCAGTGGCAGACCTGCCAATTCTGGTATTCTATGGCAAATGCCAATCAAGCCCCACAGACCACAGAGCCCAGTAGAGGACATCAGGCCATAGGCCACCCTGATGAAGTCAGTGGCCTGCTGGAAGTCATTTTGTAGGGCTCTGGCAGTGCTCATCCTGTTCTTCCTTGCACAAAGAAGCAGATACCGGTCCTGCTGATGGGTTAAGGTCTCCTGGAATCACCTCTATGCCCTTGAGACTGCTGGGAGACACAGCAACCCTTCTGGCAATGGCACGTATTGATGCACCATCCTGGAGGAGTTGGACTACCTGTGCAACCTCTGTAGGATCCAGGTATCGCCTCATGCTACCAGTAGGGAAACTGACCGTATCCAAATGTAATACTAGTGATGAAGAGGGAAAAATGTCAATGGCCTCCACCTGTTAAACCATTCCTGTTTTGGGGGTCGTCTCATTGTTGCCCATTGTTTAAGCCTAGCTAAACTCAAAATAAATAAATCGCAGGGCCCTGATGGCATCTTACCTATAGTCTTAAAAGAGATGAGGGATATTATTAGCCAACATTTAACTTTAATATTCCAGAAATCATTATCTGCGGGTGTGGTACCATCAGATTGGAAGCATGCTAATATAACACCCATATTCAAAAAAGGGGATAGAAGTAATCCAGCAAACTATAGGCCAATCAGTTTAACTAGCATTACTGGAAAAATAATGGAAGCTATAATTCAAGTGAAAATGGTAGATTACCTAGATGCAAATAACATTATAAAGGATAGCCAACATGGATTTAGGAGAGGTAGATCCTGCTTAACGAATCTACTTGAGTTCTTTGAGGAAGCTACAAGTGAAATTGATCACAAAAAGGCCTATGATGTGATTTACTTAGATTTCCAGAAGGCCTTTGATGTTGTCCCTCACAAATGGCTCTTGCTAAAGCTTAAAGCTGCAGGGATTTTAGGAACTGTGGCAGCTTGGATCGAAAACTGGCTAACTGACAGGAAGCAGCGAGTAGTTATTAGAGGCACAATGTCACAGTGGGCCTCCGTTCATAGTGGGGTACCGCAGGGTTAAATTTTAGGACCACTATTGTTCCTAATTTACATTAATGATATTGACACAAATACATACAGTAAACTGGTTAAATTTGCAGACGACACCAAGGTGGGCGGTGTAGCAGATACTGATCTAGCAGCAGAGAGGCTTCAACGGGATCTGGATTTAATTAGTGAATGGGCTGATACCTGGCAGATGAAATTTAACACAGATAAATGTAAGGTAATCCATGCAGGGAGCAGAAATATAAAGTACAGATATTTTATGGGTTCCACTGAAATAAAGGTAGCTGATTACGAGAAAGATCTCGGTATGTATGTTGATGCTTCCATGTCCCACTCTCGCCAGTGTGGGGAAGCAATAAAAAAGGCGAACAGAATGTTGGGTTATATCTCTAGGTGTGTGGACTTTAAGTCGAGGGAGGTGATGTTACATTTATATAATTCCTTGGTAAGACCCCACCTAGAATACTGTGTGCAGGTTTGGTCACCATACCTCAAGAAGGACATTGCTGCCTTAGAAAAGGTGCAACGAAGAGCTACGAGAATGATTCCTGGTCTTAGAGGAATGTCTTACGAGGAGAGGTTAGCGGAACTGAATCTGTTTAGCCTTGAGCAAAGGAGACTAAGGGGGGATATGATTCAGGTCTATAAGATTCTAACGGGTCTGGATGCTGTTCAGCCAAATGACTATTTCAATATTAGTCTAAATACTAGAACTCGTGGCCATAAGTGGAAATTAGCGGGAGAACATTTTAAAACAAATTTGAGGAAGCACTTCTTTACACAGCGTGTAGTTAGAGTATGGAATAGTCTTCCTGCTAGTGTAGCGGAACCTAAAACCATGGGTTCCTTTAAATCAGAGCTAGATAAGATTTTAACAACTCTGAGCTATTAGTTAAGTTCTCCCCAAACGAGCTTGATGGGCCGAATGGCCTCCTCTCATTTGTAAATTTCTTATGTTCTTATGTTCTTCTTATGATGTTTAAATAATCTTAATGTTGGAGTAAAACTATGTCATGCCTGTCAAAGTGTGTTAGCTTAGCCATTTCAAAACTTCTGCTAAAATCACCCCAGAATTTGCAGCAACCTTCCAATATACCCATGAGTTTTTGGACTCAACCACTAGCAGATGTCCCACAACTAATCAATATTTTATTGACTTTTTTTGACTAATTAAATTAACTAATTAAATGGGCTGCTGCTGAAATTAAACAAATACATGGAATGGCTGACGTGCCCCTGCAGAGGTTAGCGAACTGAAACATTGTTCTTTTAGCCATCCAACAAGATGTCGGTAACATTTTGGAGAACAGAATAAATTCCTAGTAGCTTTTATTGTGTTACTCTTAATCTGCATGTTTTCTAATTTTAAATTGTGTTATTTGTTATGAGCAAATGGGCACGTACTACCCAGATAAATAGCTTTGAACATTAATTTTGACTACCTAAGACTTTTGCACAGTACTGTGCACCCATGGCTCTACGTGTAGAGCTGAGGTACTCAGACAAGACGCAAGCAAGGCAGAGCAGGGTGGGGCTTACCAGGCTGTGGTACGACCAGACAGAGCGGACGTGAAGCGTGGCGGAGCAGGGCTTATCAAGCAGACTGTGTTGATAAGGTACTCAGACGAGACGCTAGCAAGGCAGTGCAGGGTAGGGCTTACCGGACAGTTACGCAGGTCACCCATGGTGCTGGCATTGCGGAGCAACTCCCCGAACATGCCTGGCGTGGGCTTCTCCCGGGACTCCAGCATGTGCACAGCCTGGTTACTGTGGAGTATGGGGGGACAGTGAGAGGGCAGTGTGTTTAGCAGCAGGCAGCTCAATTTAGAGAATGCAGCTCAATTATTACATTTAACTAGCCTAGGAAACAACCACACATTTGTTTGGGCTGAATGATATGCCACGGACTTCCATTAGCACAGGATGGAAATTTTGTGAAGGCCGTGGGGTAGCAGGGTGCTCATCTTCCCCATGTGTGTTGCTTGTACCAGTGTCACCTGTCGCACGAGATAGCACAGAGCAGGTGACTTGCTAGTGTCATACATTTACAGCATGCGGTGGGACACCAAGAGCTTTGCTCCACCTAGAAAAGCACAGTGATGTGAACAAGTGGGCAGTTCACATCAGGGGCCAAACGGGACCTGGTACTGCTGTAGGATCAGGGCTTAGAGGGCCACAGGTTCCCCTGAGGACAAATGCTGGAGATGGGCAGGAGCAGCACATAGCTCAGCCCGGGACCCCCTCCCCCCGGCAGGGGCATCTCAGACAGCCCCGCTCAGTATCCCAACTCGTCGTGTATCTAAGATTGCTTATAGGAAATGTTTGTTAAAGTCCTACAGAGCACTGGGCTGGAGGTCAGGAAGAGGAATGGACAATACCACCACCCGGCATGAGGCCAGGCGGGTCAAAATCCTGGTGTCCATCTGAAAAAAATATTCCTAATAGCTAAGGGTACAGCAGATGAGCATCCTGAAGCGGGTCGCCGAACCTTCACCCCTGCTGAGTGATTCAAGCCTCTTGCTCTGCAGCACATATTCTCGACAGATGTACACCTTCCACCTGTATGCCACCTCCCTCCCTGCCCTGCAGTGGACGCCCCAACTAGTAGCTCACCAGAGAGAAGTGCTGGATATATAATGAACCATCTGGATAAACGGCAGTGGGTCTGAGGTGGCTCCACAGCTGTTGCAGACACACTGAAAAAGGAGATTTGGAAACAAGATGAGGAACTACTGTCTGGCCATGGATTGCACACTGATGATTATCCTTTAATGTTTACTCTACAGCGCACCATGACATATTTACTCTCTCTACACCCATGACTGTGTAGCTAAGTACAGCTCCAACTCCATCTTTAAGTTTGCTGACGATACCACCGTAATTAGGTCTGATCAGCGAGGACAATGAGACGGCCTATAGGGAGGAGGTCAGACACCTGGAAGATTGGTGTCAGAACAACAACCTCTCCCTCAACGTCAAGAAAACTAAGGAGATGATTGTGGATTTCCGCAAACAGGCAACAGAGCACAGCCCCATCTACATCGGAGGTGAGGCTGTGGAGCAGGTCAGCAGCTTTAGGCTCCTCGGAGTCACCCTCACTGATGACCTCAAATGGTCAAGTCACCCGGCGGCAATAGTGAAGAGAGCACAACAACGCCTCTACTTCCTCAGGAGACTGAGGAAAGCCCGGATGTCCCCCAGAACCCTGTGCAGATTCTACAGGTGTACTGTGGAATCCATCCTGACAGGATGCATCACATCCTGGTACAGCAGCTGCTCAGTTCAGGACCATAGAGCTCTGCAGCGTGTGGTGAACTCAGCACAGAAGATCACGGGCACACAGCTCCCTGCGATCCGCGACATCCACACTACACGCTGTCTCAGGGAAGTGAACCGTATCAGGCAAGACCCCAGCCACCCTGCACTGTCACTTTTCACCCTCCTACCATCTGGGAAGCGACTGAAGTCCATTTGGACGCGTACCTCCAGGTTTAGGAACAGTTTCTACCCAACTGCAATCAGACTCATGAACAATCAGTAACCTGTGTCACCTCCACTGCTACCCATACATATACTTCTCTCTGTCTTTTGGTCTTATTTATTCTACTTATTTAAAATTCACTTTATCATTCATGTCATCTCTTGTCATCCTGTTGTCTGTCTTGCTGTCTATGTTCACTGTCTGCAGGAGCTCATGCAAGTAAGCATTTCATTGTACAAGGTACTTGTACTTGTACACATGACAATAAAGAATTGAATTGAATTGAATTGAATTAGCTGTCTGTGGGCTGTAGTCAGTTGTGGCTGAGATATTGACGACCACTGCTCTGAAATGGTTTGAGAGGGAGGAGCCGGAACCTTTAGCAGAGACCCTGCATCTCACAGCAGCCAATATGGGTGGAGAGATCGCACCCACCTGCTCAAAAAGCGTCATGGCGAACTTCTGGTGTGGAATGCAGTGTTTGGCAGTGCAGATGTCTTCCTTGGTCTCATCTGCGATGTGGAAGTGAATCCGCATCAGAAGGTTCTCCTGCCAGGCAGACACCACGAGCAGATATGTTCATGTTAGCGACACAAAAGACACATTGGTCCTTGAATGTGAGAGACACAGTCTGAACAGACTAGCTGCAAATCTGGGGGATTCTGAACAAGGCTCTTGGCAGGCAGTACCAAGCATGCTTTAGCAAATAGCCTTTCAAAGCCACTTATTGACACACTGGGTCTCAATAAACACGGAGGCGCAAACATGGCCATGCTCAGATCACTGGGACTCAGATATGGGCCGACACAGAGAGGGCAGACACATAGTGGGCATTCTATTGAGCCAGAACTCCATAAACACTCAAGTTACACTAATGGTGTTAAGTAATATTATAATATATAATATTCCTGCAAAAGGTATGCTGTCATCTCCGCTGTGGGTTGTGTAACCGGGGTGGTGGGGGGGACTCACAAAGCATTCGGCTGCGTCATCCATGATCCCCAGCTGGAAGCGCTGCTCGTCCTGGAAGGTCTTGGCCAGGGCGCTGCGCAGGGCATCAGATGGCAGTACCTTCTCGCTACTGTACTGAAACTGTGCAAAGATGCTCTGCAAGCCATACATCAAAACAGAGTCAGCAATCTGACTGCTCATAGGAATTCATACAGTAAGTTCCCGCATGAAAATCAGGGGGGAAGTGGTAAGCACAGGCCAGGACTGCTGGTGGTGGCTTGGAGCTCCATAAGGACACGCCACCAACTCACAGTAAGACATCCATGCCTGGTTACCTTGCTTTCCGACAGGAAGCCAACCCTTTAGAGAATGAGGGGAGTTATTCACAGCTCTTTCACTCTCTCACCATTCTGAAGAAGCTTACTGCTGCACCAACAACATAGTATCATTTCTGTTATCAGTCTGGGTAAGTGACATATGGACTTCCTTCTAGTTATTCAAACACATACAGCACCACCTCCTGTAAACTCCTGTAATCTTTACATCGGTTGGCAAGCCAATGAGCTATCTCTCCCCAGAGAAGGACAGCAGAGGGGAACTCCCTGTGGAAAATCCCAGAAACCACTTTGAGCTTTGTGCCAGGTTCTGTACACAGACATGCACAGAACCTCAGCTCTAGGACAACTGAATCTAAACTTTGATGAGAAGTCAAGGCAGGAGGCAGTTTCCAAAACAGTCCACAAAAAATGAGAACATTTGAAAAGAGCCCCCCTCCCCCTCCCCGGAGGACAGGAAGAAAAGAACAGTTCTGCTGCAGTTGGTCTCACCCGTGACTACATTCAAATAAACAAGACGTAAGCATCACGGAAAAATGAATAGCCCAACATATTGTATTAAGCTGACGTTATTGTGAAAGTATGCAGAAATAAAACGAGGCGGTGGCCATCTTACCAGGGAAAGAGTTAAACAATCATGACTACGGGCTGCTGTATGTTTGGCTATAGTAACAGCAGCAAGAAAAAAACAAAATCTAAGTTTATTTTGTATATCTTTGGTTTTTATAAATCAAGACAAAAAAAAAAAAACAAATAATGGAAAGGTGACGGAAAGTTTGGCTAAAAGCCATCAATTAAAAGAAGTTCAATGACAATACTGTCAGGAAGTGGTACGTTGTGTGTTCTGTGCATTTTCTTCTATCAGGGAGGTTAGAGCCACACAAATTTGATTTTCTAAAAACAGTAAATATATTTCAAACTGCAATTTATTTTTTGGGAATACTATGCTAAGTCAGTCAAAAATATGACAGCGATTACTGACTGCATCAAAAGCAGTTATCTGGTCTACACTAATACATAAGTACCTTCCAAAATAGGGATATAAAAGTGACATAATTGATGATAAAATGTTACAAACATCCTGTACTACCTAGTGAGTTTTTATCTGTAATGTTTTGGCATGTCGAAGTAAAATTAATAAAATTGTTACAGTGTTTTGTGCTTTATCAAACATGTGCCCAGGGCTGTCTGCTGTGGAGAGCCTTTGGAACCTCAACCCACACATATACTCACAAACACAGATCCTTTAACCCTCTGACCCCAGCTCAGGGCACTAACACATTTTCGTTTAGCAACGTGAAATTTTTCTTCCGATTTACCCTCCCGTCCTCAGTACCACGGGTTTTTTCCCCGACAATTAATCTTTCTGTAAATGCATTAGTGTGGACGCTCATAAATATAAAGATTGATTACACCTACATCAGTGAGCTCCAATTGGTTCATACTTAGCTCGTGATCCTATCCTGATTAGCTCTCTTTGTTTCGATGTCTCTTCTCTTAATTGGTTATTCTTCACGGGAATGAAGAATGCTTTGCCTTTGTTTTCATGGAAGAAAGCCATATGTGAACATTGAGGATATACAGGACTTTTGCTACCAGGCATATGTTGTTTTGCTTACTTGTGTGCAGCTAAATCGTGTTTTGTGCACATTGTATGCTGTTTACAACTATTGTGGAGTGCAAAATGAGAGTGTACCTGAGCCAAGCTTTAGTGCAGCTCTAGCTTATGATAAAGACATCCAGCCATCAAACACTGGAGTGCACTGAAACTGAGGGGAAGAGAGTGAGACGCGTACTGACAAAATTTCTGGATCCCTGTGTCGTTGCTGTGATGGTTCCTTTTATGTATAGAAAAATTTCATTTTTACCTGCATTTACTTTAAAAACATGGTTATGTCTGTGAGATTAATCAACAGTGAAAATGTTAATAAAACTGAACTGTATTACTAATTAAAGTCAAAATAAATTATTAAAAATATATAATTTGCCACTTCTAGAATTATTATTAAAGAAATTTTGGTTGGACAAAAAACATGCAGATGACAGGATATGCTCAAGCTACAACAAACAAGTAAAATATATTATAAAAAGCTTTGGTTAAATGTACAAATGAAAAATGTCAGCAATATGTTTATTAACAACCACTCTTATACCTACGTCAGGTAAGTTTTACTCAGAGTAGTATGAAAGTTTTTTTCAATGCTAGTGGTAGTATGGACACAGATCTTTTCTTTCGGAAACTCCCATAAAAAAAATTCATGTATTAGTGTGGACGTAGCCTCAGAGTCCCAGGCCCAGACTCTAACTCATGCATTTCGCGCTGCTCAGTTTCATGAGGGTGCGAAAATGCACACTTCACACAGGAATTCACATATATCGGAGGCAAAGGACATGCCTCACTGGCATGAGAAATCCCGCGATTCTACCTGAGCTATGGGTAAAACTGTAAGCCTCGCAAGTTGCCCCAGATCAGGGCTGTTTACAAAACAAATGTGTTACATAACATACTACAGCTCTCCAAGGTATTTGGCCAGTGTCTTGGGCATCCTTTTCCCCTGTACACTCTCCTTCTTCATCGACATGCTTGCCTATGGAGCCCTTATCAATCCTCCTCTAAGTGCAGCAGGAAGAGCTCACACCAGGAAGTCGTCCTGAACCAGTCAGCTCTTCAACACCACTATCTCCTCTGGATCGGGAGCTGCTGCCGACTAGGGGGGTTTGGTAACGCGGCAGAAATGATTACTCAGTTAATACACAGCATGTAGATCACAGCATGGCACTGGACTTGGGAAGAGCCAGCCGAGCCAAAAACGAGGAGATCCCAAAGCTGATATATTAATTATTCTCCTCTTCCAGCAAATTAGCGGCTCTTCCATCTGCTTGCTGTCCCACATTTGCAGCATATCCTCACAGGGAATGCAGCGTGGTTGCGTTTATGCGGTGGCCTCGTCACTAGATCCATGAGGTCAATGGAGAGACTCATCAAGGTAAGGAGGACATGGTGAGGACCAGCAGCTGCGGTTGTGGTCGAGATCAACCAGCTGGTGAATTTGGCACCAACCAGTACTGGTAACCCTAAGAAGCCACCATGAGCCAGCCATCAATTTTGTGTACGGAAAGTAGTAAAGATGCCGCAATATTCTTGGTTGATCATTTAAATACAGACAGTGTTAGCAATTTATGATCATGGGGAAGTCAGGGTGAGAATGGGGGTTGCAGTTGGCACCACTAGGGTGATAAGGATGTAATTTAATTTACAGTGGCCAGACTGTGTCACCATTTGCTCTCGCGAAAAGTCTCCATCCTGTCCTGTCTCATCCCTGTCCCAAGACTGTCACACTACAGGAGGTCACCCATTATATGCACATTCAATCACAACAGCTACCTTGTTGGAGAGGGTGTTTTGATATATAAAGAAGGGTAAAGAACTGTTCCTTTTCTCTGTATTTGAGCTGCCTTACAAGGCTCGGTGTATGTCTACAGTGTATTACATTATATTATTTTAACTGTCCAATAAACCACTGTTTTTCCTGAAACGAAACTGTAAAAGTGGATTCCTTACATTCGAGAAACGACCGATGTGCCGAGGGATTCCAAGGCGGTGTCCACCTAAAACAGAAGGGCTATGTGCAATACACTGCGTCTCATGGTGGCACTTAACATGATTCCTGGAGCATGTTATAAAGTGTCTGTGTCAGCTGATGCATATTGGTAAATTTCATTGGTTGTTCACATTGGAAGCAGATACATATATTGGTTTCTTGCGTATGCAACATGGCCAACAAGAACAAATTGTGGAAGTCTCAAGCACCTGAGCATGTGGACAAACTACATAAAAAAGGTCTGACAACTGAAGGGAACAAAGTCCCATCATGTAGTCCAGGGCAAGCTCAATACTGATTCCATTAAGAAAAGAATTATTGATGGAATCCTGAACAAGGTAGATGAAATCTTCTCAGAAAGCAACCTCATCTGTGCCTTTGTTGCTTTGTCAGTGAGATATATTTCATTCTGTAGTCAGACAGAACTGGAAGACTAGTGGAATGACAAGACTGAGACACTGATAAAAAGGTATAGGGAGCAGAAACAGTGAGCTAGAACACCACAGCAGCCTCAAATCCCAAGAGAAGCCATGATGAACCCTAAGCTAACAAAAAAGGAATGGGCCACTGTGAAAAAGATGGTTGTACAGGCGGGCTATGCCAGAGAAAGGATGTGTGAATTGTGGTTCCTGATCAACAAGTACTGTGGAAGGTAATTTCCTAATCTCTTAAGTTTAGCAGCGAAGGGTCTATCAGCACCAGTTCATACTGCAGCATGTGAAAGATGCTTCTCTGCATAAAATCAGGTTAAAACTGCTCACAGAAACTGTTTGCATCTTAGATCCTAGATAGTTTGTTGACAATAAAACATGAAAGTGGGGACCTGAAACACTTTGACTTGGATTAGAATACAGAGTTCACAGTTTGATGTTCAGCCTTTATGTAATAATAATGTGAAACTGATACAGTAAATCAGTCTTTGGACTGATAAAATATAAAATGTATATTTTGGTCCTTTAGTCCTATGGCCCACCTGTTTTAAAAATGGCCGATGTTTTTCATGACTGTTACAAGTATGACTGGCACCCTCTCGTTCAGGCTTTCTTTTCGTGTCCCCTCACCCTCAGAAAGAGCCATACTGTACCTTAAGAGCACAGAAGATGCAGGAGTCCTCCATGCACCTGTGGGTATTCAGCTGGCGGAAGCTCCTGCGAAAGATGTCGAGATGCCAGAGGACCTGCGGGGGGGACACGACTGTTAGCTCCTTCTTGGTCTCAAGAGCAACTCATAGCACCTCACAAGTGCTCTTCTGACTGAGCAGCATGTGGCTCAACAGGCTCTCTGTTCCTGTGATCAGAAGGTCGCTGGTTCAAGCCCGGCTTTGGCAGAACTACTACATGTCCATGGACCCATGAGTGCCGCTGCAGGCGGCTGCCCTTTGCTGCCAAGCTTGCTCGCACCTCCATATGTGTTGGTGTGTTATGGAGACCAAGATGGGGTAGGTGGAAAGAGAATTTCCCATGGAAATTATTATTATTGATTCACCAGAACAGCTTCATGCACCCTCTCCCCCACCCAGGTGCCCAGTGCCCCAAGGGCTGCTGCCACATGGCTCAGCCTGCTCTTACCCCTCTTCATAATTCAAAGTAAGGCTGGGCAATATGGCCAAACCTCACTGTAGTTTTGGTTAGAATCACAATCCACTATATAGGTGATGCTTCTTTTTTTTTTGTTTACAAAACAACCAAATTGTAATGTATGTACTAATATTAGTTGACCATTTACATAAATTCAATTTAGTTTTCAGTTCAATATCTAGTAAATAAATTGAGACCCACTGTGACAGATAATTGACAAAGAAGTGAGATATACAGACAGCGCTGTGATGCTAAGCAGGGTGAAAAATCTTTGTTTTGCATTGGTCTGTTTTTGTTGTGGTACTGTTGTAGCCTCCAAAACATGTAGGCATCACGTGACAGGTGCCTACCAGTTTGTTGCATCATTATACAAGGTGTCTCCAGAAGTTCTGATGTGAAATTTAAGACTTTTAAGATGTAAGATTTAAATCTTTTCAATGCCACTTCAAGCCAAATTTAAGACCAAACTGTAAGTGGAAATGTGCCTTACCAGAATCAATACCCATAAGTCATTTTACCCACTGTTCATGCAAGTTTGTATTAAAAATGGTCTAATAATTGATGTGTGAATAATAAATCAAACTTCACAATGGTGTATGGGTGCCTCAATTATGAGAAGTCCCAACAAGAAACTTTCCTCAAAACACAGGACCAACGGACTTAGCAAGACATTTAATGTCCCATTCTCCATTATGAGCATACCAAATGGCAGATTTAACAGATTCTTGAATATTTAACATAAAAACGATAAAGACAGACAGACAGACAGACAGACAGACAGATAGATAGATCAATCTAGCGTTAAGTGTATCAAAGGTTATAAAAACTAAGGTTTATACTACAAACACACACCCTTCAAAACCCATTGAATATTACAACTTACATTAACTGCACCTTCATAATGCTTTGAAATACATACAGTCCCCTCCAAAAGTATTGGAACAGCAAAGTCAATTCCTATATTTTTGCTGTACACTTAAAACATTTGGGTATGACATCAAAAGATGAATATGAGACAAGCATTGTTTGTAACGGAACACACAGCAAAAGTCACTGAGCAAAAGTATAGGAACAGATAGACTTAAGATTAATCAAAGTGAATAATACTTAATATTTAGTTGCAAATCCTTTGCTTGCAATAACAGCATCAAGCCTGCGACCCATTGACATGACCAAACTTTTGCATTCTTCTGTTGTGATGCTTTTCCAGGCTTTCACAGCAGCCGCTTTCAATTGTTGTTTGTTTTGGGGAGTTTCTCCCTTCAGTCTCCTCTTTAGCAGGTAAAATGCATGCTCAATAGGGTTTAAGTCTGGAGATTGACTTGGCCAGTCTAAAACCTTCCACTTCTTTCCACTGATGAACTCCCTGGTTGCTTTGGCAGTGTGTTTTCGGTCATTGTCTTGCTGCATGATAAAAGATCTCCCGATCAGTTTGGTTGCATCTCTCTTTAAATTAACAGATAAAATGTTTCTGTAGACTTCTGAGTTCATTTTGCTGCTACCATCATGTGTTACATCATCAATAAAGATCAATGAGCCCGTCCTAGAAGAAGCCATGCAGGCCCAAGCCATAACATTACCTCCGCCGTGCTTCACAGAAGAGCTTGTGTGTTTGGGATCATGAGCGGATCCTTTCTTTCTCCATACTTTAGCCTTTCCATCACTTTGGTAAAGGTTAATCTTTGTCTCATCAGTCCATAAAACTTTGTCCCAGAACTTTTGAGACTTGTCTCTGTACTTTTTGGCAAATTTCAATCTGTACGTTTGTTCCTGAAGTCTTCTGCGAATGGTGGATTGTGATACCTTCACTCCTGCCCTCTGGAGGTTGTTGGTGATGTCACTGACTGTTGATTTAGGGATTTTCTTCACAGTTCTCACAATGTTTCTGTCATCAACTGCTGATGTTTTCCTTGGTCTACCAGTTCGACGTCTGTTGCTTACAACACCAGTGGTTTCTTTCTTCTTCAGGACATTCTAAACAGTTGTACTGGCTATGGCTAATGTTCATGCAATGTCTCTGATTGACTTTCCAGCTTCTCTTTGTTTCAAAATTGTTTGCTTTTCTCCCATAGACAGCTCTCTGGTCTTCATGTCGGTTACACCTTTTTACCTATAAATGCAGTCTGCACAGGCAAAACCCAAAGCTGAAACTGAGAGTAGACATTCAGTACTATTTATTGTTTAAATAATCAATGTAATAGGACATACCTGGGCAATGAAACACACCTGTCAGTCACCTGTTCCAATACTATTGCTCACTTGAAAAATGGGTGGGTTCAAACTAATGGTGTTATCTTCTTAGTTGTTTAACAGATCTAGATGTAAATACCTGGAAATAAAAGCTGAAATACTGATCTCTTGTCTCATATTCATCTTTTGATGTCATACCCAAATGTTTTAAGTGTACAGCAGAAATACAGGAATTGACTTTGCTGTTCCAATACTTTTGGAGGGGACTGTAGATAACAAATATTACGCAATTATATGAATATAGTGTTTGTTATTAATGCAAAGTAAAGCTGTTAAGGTATGTTAAGTTGTTAAGGTATACACACATGCTGCTTATGAATGCTCTATGAATGCATTATGAAGGTGCAATATTCCTTTATCCATCTTCTCTCTCACACACACACACGTGCGCGCGCACATGTAGGGTAAACATATCGTTATGGGGACCGCTCATTCATTTCAATGGGAAAAATGCTAACGCTAACTATGACAACCTTAACCCCTACCCTACCCTAACCATAACCATAAGTAACCTAACAAAATACAAGAGTTTTTGCATTTTTAGTTTTTTCATAGCAGTCACCGATTTTTATAAAATAGAGTTTTCCCTTATGGCGACCAGGAAACCGGTCCCCATAAGGGAAAAAAAACGGATATTTATCATGTTATGGGGACATTGTGTCCCCATAAGGATAGGTAAACCCGCTCACACACACACACACACACACACACACACATATGCAGCATGGGTATATGGCCAGGAAGATGACAAAGGTATTGACATATTTTAGAACAACATCCATGCTCATTTATAATTACACCATTCAAAATGCAAAGGGTAAAATTAAAGGACTAATAACTATGAAACTGATAAACATGTCCAGCAAAGTGTGGTTTAAGCAAAGGACAATGGGGAACAATGCTCAGCACTTCATTTTCTGATTATGCATTTCTATACCAGCATTGTCAACTTTCACGCACCTTGAATGATACACAGGCTTTCAGAGTCGCATGCTCACGCAAGAAATCTTACAGCAAATCTATATTATTCCCTTATAAACCTAAAATTATGTCAAAAGCATTTGGGTAGCTTGCAAAGAAATAATTTACAAGGTAATAAAACTGCTACATACATGTGAATGCATGTACAGACATGTCACGAATCGAAAGTCTCACACAAGCCACCCAAAGTTGATAACCCTGCTAAACATTTTTATTAACAATTGTACTGTGTCCATTCATCACAAGTACCTGTAAATGAGCGACAGTTACTGAACGGTAAGTGTACATGCTAACATTCTATTCTTAATGTACCCGTAAAATGATCTGGAAAACCAAGAGGTGTGAAAGAGTTGCTATCAACTCAAAATGCTGAACCATTGTCTATACACAGCAGAGGTTGCCTCTTTTCATAAATATTAACATGATATAGTACACATAGTGAAAGCGCTGGAAACACAAAAATGATTGGCTCTGCCTAGGCATTAGAGGTCTGTGATTAAAAACTGACTTGGTAGTATACCCCTCAAAAGTCAGTCACATTTAAACTTAAGCTAAATATTTTTCAAGATCAGACTGAAATACAATTCCAAGACCCCCGGGTGGATGTCTGAAGCCACAAGTAGTACCAAACCCTATATATGTCTTGTCCTCCACATACATACATATGATAGTTTATTTTAAAAATTAGGCACAATAAGAGATTAACAATAGAATACTTATAAAAATATATTTGTAATCAGTTATGTGAATGTGGTCTCTAAAAATTTCTTATTGTACTGTACTCACTACTCTTCATAAATAATGTTTTTTTTTTTTTTTTAAATAAAACAAAAATGATACACAAGCATTGCCATACATACATGGTTACGCTGGACGAAGGAATGATTCACATCCCAGGTGTGACATTCGAGATATCATGACGCTACTCTGAAGCTTATGGATTATTTCTGGAATTTTCCATTTAATATTTTCAGAAAACTAATCCGCAGTGTAGTGGAACCAATATAATAGTGGAACCACTATGAATGTTACTGACCTAAAAAAAAAAAAAAAATGAAGACCTTAGTAAGCTTAAATTTAAGACTTTATAAGACTTTTCATGGCCTTAATTAAACTCTATTTTAAGACATTTTATGAGTTTTTAATGCCCCACAGATACTCTGTTATAATAATACTGTATAGTAGGGATGCATCGATACCAAAAACTCACGGTACGATAATATCGTGATAAAAGGCCCATGATACGATAATTATCACGATATTAGAAAAGAACAAAACTCTTAATAATTAATAATCAACATGTTTATTTTAGTTTAAATTAGTTCTTCCTCTTAACATAAAGTACTTCTGCTATTCTTCATTAGTGAAA